AAAAATAGCAACAAAAAAACCTATAAAACAATTAATTTTAGACATTGTACACTAGGCAACACAGGACTATGATTCCTGAGAGAAAGGGAAAAAAATTTTTAAATGCCTAGACTTTTTGCTTGGAGTCACTTTTCAGATTTTAATAGAGAGAGAAGGAACCCTGACAGACAGAACGTGGTGATTTTACTGCATTGAGGCGACAGCCATCCGAACGCAGGGCTGCTGAGACAGGTGGAACTTGTGAGCACAGAACTAGATGGAAGAGAAATACAGAGAGAAAAAGCTACGGGAATCTGCAGAGGTACCTTTGAATCTGTTATTGAATACCAAGCAACACACGCACAGGACAAAATCCATAAAGTCAGACAAAGAACTCTCAGGGAACAAGAAGCAGAACAATATCCAGAGCTCACATAGGTGGGGAGAATTCCAGTCAGCCAACTGGAATTCTCAGCAGTAGGGAAAAACTGGCCCTACGGAAAAGGCTAGAGACTATTAATTAAAAAGCTTAAGAAATCCTGGAGCTAGTGTACATGTAATTTGAAGGCTATTAAAATACTTGTCAATACTCTTTACAAGAAAACAACAATGAAAAGCACTCTAAATAAAATAAAATATGTAGTGTTTAACATCCAAACAAAAAATTACCAACTTTGAAAATATAAAGGAGAACATGACTAAGAACCGGGAGAAAAATCAGTTAATAGAAACAAAAGTGACAGAAATGATAAAGGGATCAGAAAAAAAGACTTTAAATTGTGATTATGTAAATGCTCATTATGTTTAAGAGCTAAACAAAAATACAATGTGAAACGAAAGTACAGATTTTAAAAATTTCCATGTGGAAATTTCAAAGATGAAATGTATAATATCTGAAGTGAAAAATTTACTAGATACAGTTAACAGTTATGTAGACACTGCAGAAGTAAAGGGCAGTGAGTCTGAAGACATTATAGTAGGAATTACCTGACCTAAAACACAGGGAAAAAATGTAAAAAAAAGAAGAAGAAGAAGAAGAAGAAGAGGTGGAGGAGGAGGAGGAAGAAATAGCAGTGGGAGGAGGAGGAGGAGGAGGAGGAGGAAGTAGTAGTGGGAGGAGGAGGAGGAGGAGGGGGAGGAGGAGGAGGGACCTACAATTATTTGAAAAAGTGTTCAACATCTTTTGCCCTCAGGAAAATGCAAAATCAAGACTACCCTGAAAGTCCATCTCACCCCAGTCAGAAGGGCAATCATCAAGAACACAAATCCCAATCCTGGTGAGAATGCAGAGAGAAAGGAGCCCCACACTATAGGTGGGAATGTATCTGTATGCAGTTTCCTCAGAAAGCTAAAAGCAGAACCACCATATGATCCAACTACACCACTCCTTGGGAGTTATCCCAAAGATTTAAAGTCACATACTTCAGAAATACATGCACGTCGTGCACATTTATCACAGCCCGATTTACAATAGCCACACTAGGAGACCAAGCTAGGTGTTCATCAGATATGAACGGATAAAAAAGGACAGCGTATATACACAACAGAGTTTTAGTCAGCCATTAAAAAGAACAAAATCGCCAGCCGCGGTGGCACACGCCTATAATCCCAGAGGCTCTGAAGGCTGAGGCAGAAGGATCGTGAGTTCAAAGCCAGCCTCAGCAAAAGTGAGGTGCTGGGCAATTCAGTGAGTCCCTGTCTCTATAACACAAAATAGGGCTGGGAATGTGGCTCTGTGGTCAAGTGCCCCTGAGTTCAATCCCTAGTACCCACCCCCCCAAAAAGGGAGAACAAAATTATGTTATTTACAGGAAAGAGGATAGAACTGGACACCACAAGTATTTGAGCAAAACAAGTCAGAAAACTATCATGTTTTCTCTCCTATGTGAAAGCTAGAGGGGAAAAACAGAAGACCAAGGGGTGCCCTGAGGGTGGTCAGAAGGCCATTAAGGCAGAGGAAAGGGATGAGGGACAGGGAGAGGGCGGGGGAGGCCTGAAATGGGTCAGATTATATTTTCATGTTTATCCAAATATGCCGCTATACAACCCAGAACTCTATATAAATAATAGGCACCAAGAATAGGTAGATGATAGACAGATAGATAAAAAGATTCCTCTGCTCCTTGTACAATGATGCCCCAGACTATAAACATAATATAAACATGATAGACTTTACTCTTGTGATTAGATTCTGTTATCAGGCAAAGTTCACAGTGAAATGGGGGGATTATCCCCGTGGGCTGGATCTACCAGCAGGAGCCCGGCTGGCCTCGAGATGAAAGAAGCTGATGCCACAGGAAATGGGCAGCCCTCACCGACATTCAGAGGACAAGGGTGACGAGACCACAGGAAACCAAATCCAAAAATGACCTTGAAGACCCCCGCCCGCCCCTAACCTCCAGTTAAGAACTCAGCTGGCTGACATTTGGACTTTCCAATACTGTGAGCAAAGAAGAAAATCTGCCCTGGCAGACTCCCGACCTGGAGAGTGTGAAACCAAAACAGCTCTGGTTGTAAGCCTCTAAGTTTAAGGAAATTTGTTATGAGGTCTTGGGAAAGAATGACGCAACTCTGAAGCTATGCAGAAGAGCTTTGGTGAGATCCAGGAGACATGGAGCAGGGAACTTCCAATTCTGAAGACAGAATTATTTCAGATTAAATATTGGGTGAGAAAAAAGTTGTGATGGACCATCTCCAGTACTTTTCATCCCGTGCACCGATGATCAGGAAATGTGTGGTGCACAACAGGAGAGAGAGTTTGATGTGAGATAGGCACAGGGAATCCCCAGGGCTAAGAACAGGGATGATTTAAGTTGATGGATGTACCTGGACAGCATCTAGGCAAATTGGAAACAGCACCAGGCTGCAGGAAAGATTCTTTCCAAGGAGACAAAATTGATAGATTACCTAATGGGTTGGACATTTTGAGAAATTTTTTTTACAAGGGTAGAATCTGAGACAGAATTGGTTAATATGTTTAAAGTCTGCAAACAGGCAAACCAAACAATAACTTAGAGGAAAATAAAATAATCAGAGTGTAGAAGATATAGTATACATGACGTGGTGCATAGGCATCAGCTGTGAATGTCTGGAGAGCAGTAACACATAAACACAGTGTGCCAGCCCTGGGGAGGCAGGGTGAGCATGCGGGAGGAGGGTTAAAAGTCCGGGATGTGAAAGCAAATTCCTCTCCTTCTGTCGTGGGGAGTATACGTGCACTATTTGAGTAGGTAAGGAGCAGGCAGCCGTACTCACAGGCCATGTGGAGATGGGAATCGGGTGCACACATTCAATGTGGCTGCTGCTGCTGCAGAAGGGGTGGTGGGTAGGGGTGGTTTGTGGGCTTTATTTTCTCTAGCAAGCCTGGGGGAGCTGCAGGACTTGGTAAATTAAGCACACACTTCAACAAAGATAAACATAGAAATGAATGAGAGGAAGGAAGGGAGGGAGAGAAGGAGGCAGTGGGAGCCCAGGCTGCTCAGAGGAACGCCTTCCTGATTCAGTGGATTTCCTCCTGGGATTCTGTTCCCACGAGCCAGGAAACATTTCTGAAACCACACAGACTGGCAAACGCTTAATGGGGGGGCAACAGGGCAGCCTGTCGTGTTTGATCATCTCTCCTGACACAGATTCCAGTTTTCCTAAGACAAACTGGGGAACCAAGGGGTGCAGTCTACAAAGAAACCACTTGCTTAAAATATCTGGGCCTCAGAGAGGTTGGGAGGGGAGGTTCTGCGTCGTGGGAGACGCCCAGCAGAGGTTCTGATGTTTTCCTTGGGATCCGTTAGCATGCAGCGCGTTCTGGGGATTTGATCTGTGGATGACACAGCGGGCATTTCCTTGCCGGAATGTGTAATTTTCTAACATGACAACTTCGCAGCTGCACTGTCATGAAGCTGTGCTCACCAAGATGGAGACATTTTGGGGAAAACTCTGACTAAATAGGGCTGTGGATGAAAGAGAAAAGACGTGAAAGGAGTACCCTGCTTCCAGCGAACCCTGAGGGGAAGAAGGATATTTGGGACCAGGTCGTATGCGGGTTGGAGAGTCAAGATGCTTAACCAAGAGGGACTTTAAAACCTACCGATGGTGGGTTTGCTGGCTGAACCGGGCCAGGTGACCTAGGGCAAGGAAAGGCTCCACTTTGCTCATCTACTGCTATCTTCTCTGTGAAATGAAAAGTACAACCTATACCTTAGGAGACTGTGAACATTAGGAAATTTGATTTAAAAGGCTTAATGTTGTACCCGGTAGACGTTCAGTACACATCATTCCACATGTGTGCGTACTCACAGAGGCACCTGCTTCTACCTGTATGGCTCTGTCTCCCTGCTCTGCTTCTGTATCCCTTAAATGTCTATCTCCACTGCCTCTTACTGTCTCATACTGTTCTCTTAAAATATCACCAAGAGTTTGCAGAGTTCATGATTCAATATGGGACACATAATGCAAAATAAATGTATAGTCAAAACCCAGCAATGATGCAATATCATTGTTCTGCTAAGCCTAAGCGTAAGGTGCGGTTAGCAGGATGCGGGACTCTCAGCTCAGGATGGACCACAGAGCATCTCAACCATGGGAAGGGATTGGGGTGGAGGAGCCTGGGGAAGGGGGAGCTGACTATGGGTTTTGTCCCTTTTGTTTTTAAGATGTGCTAATGGAATAATCTGGCACATATGTGCCTGGACACTGCCTAAATACAAGGCTGCTTTGAGATCCGTGTAAAGAACAATCCCCCCCCTTTTTTTTTTAAAGAGAAAGTGAGAGAGAGAGAGGGAGAGAAAGAGAGAGAGAATTTTAATATTTATTTTTTAGTTTTTGGCGGACACAACATCTTTGTTTGTATGTGGTGCTGAGGATCCAACCCAGGCCGCACGCATGCCAGGCAAGCGCGCTACCGCTTGAGCCACATCCCTAGCCCCAAGAACAATCCCTTTAATGCAGGATTGAAGGCTGTTCGTTTGGATTTATTTGATTCTCTCTTTTTATTCTTCCACCTTTCTTTTTCCTTTTCTCTTTTTCTTCCTTACTTTTAACATATGTTTTGAGAGTCACAAACCAAGAAGCAACAAAGGTGAACAAAAACAGCCTTTGCCCTTGAAAGATTAAATTGTTAGCAAAGAAGACTTCCAATATCTTAAATCATCAGCAACATGGAGACAAGTCATGTTCAGAATAATACAAAGACCAAGGAACTTGCCTTAGTGTAGGACTATCTAGAGGCTTCTGTGTAGGTGAGTGGAGGTCTGAAGTCTCTGTGGGATTTCTCTGAAAGGCATGTGAGTAATGAGACTTTGGCAGGCGCTCGTGCAAAGGAAGATCAGTACAGGCTCAGGAAACAGGTTAAATGAAGACCTGGATTTGAGCAAACAGAGAATTGCATGGGTCATGTCAAATGAAATATTTTCCAAAAAATAATGATCATATCAGAAGCCACCTTTGAAGTGCCCAGCTCTTTCTAGTCCTGACATCAGACACAGATGAGCTCATCCTGATGGCTGGCAAAGCCCATCACAGCATAGACGGTGCTGCGTCAACTCAGACACTGATAAGTACAGGTGAAATAATTTGCATCTTTTCATAATGGCTTCCTAGTAATAGCATTGCCCCTTAAAAACTGAGCTTCAATTTATGAAAATTGTCCACATTTAATCATCTCTTACTGTCTGGGTGATTGGTAACATTATTCCCATTTCACAAATGAGTTATAGATGAGAACAAGCCACCAGCCATTTAACTGTAAGGGCCATATAAAACCATAATCCAGACTCATGTGAAGAGCCCAACACAGCTGGAAATGGTCGTACACCTTGATAGTTTGGACAATTTTGAAGTTAGAAATTTAAAATTGATTGAGCTATGCTGAAAAGAAGCTGTTGTCAAAATTCAGCTGAGGATGATCATTTTCTGCTGCTATAACAAAATGACAGAGACTGGATAACTTATAAATACTAGAGGTTTATTCAGCTTATAGTGCTAGAATTGGGAAGTTTAAGCACATGGTGCCAGCATCTGCTCACCATCTAGTAAGGGCCTTCCTGCTGCATCATAGCATGGCCTAGGGCATCACATGGTGAGACAGAGCGAGCATGCTATCTCAAGTCTCTGTTCCTGTTTTGATACAGCCATTTGTGCCTGTATCATGAAGGCCCCACTCTCATAACCTCACCTCATCCTAATTGCTTCCCAAAGCTCAACCTCCAAATATGAGCATATGAACTTAGATACTGATGTTTTAACATGTGAACTTTTAAGGGATACTTTCAAACCATGGCCTCTACCTTTAAAGAACTGTGACAGTTGGGCCAGATTTTAGGCCTACTCAGAGAATCGGTAGGAAATTCTAAGAGGAAATGGGCAGTTTTGAGTTGAACGTGGTGCGTGGTGAATGGAAATGCATTGCACAAGAAAATGGAAGGAGGCCCTCAGAAGATGACCTCTGGATGAAGAGCCATTTGTCAGGACAGCTCAGGGCAGAGGCAGATGGAACCTGAATGCACTGGGGGCTTCTTATTCTCACGATGGTTCCTGGTGGACAGAGAAAGCCAATAAATAGCACGCTGAATGGTAATTGCAAAAATGCAGAGTGGACTCAATCTTCTTTCCTTATTTTCTCCATTTTGTCTCATTTATACCTTTTGGTGGGATCAAGATGGGAATTCCAGCTCCAAGCTTTCTTGTTGACCTATTCCATTTCCCATGTACCCTCTAGAGACATCCTGCCTGTTTTCTTTTTTGCCAGATGATCTATAATCTAAAGTATCACCTCTTGCTTACCAGAGTAATATCCACCATCTTGGTGTTCTCCGTGTTAAACTTCCAGTTCTTAGAAAATCATTGGATCTCAGGCTTCAAAGGGGCATTAAAAGTTTACCTAGCCCAATCACTCATCCAGTGATTGACTTTTGTCTGCACCGTCCTTGACAGAGTGTCTGATGGAACTCTCCTTGAACAGCTACGGTAATAGGAAACACAGTCCTAACCAATTTCTCTTGTTCCTCTACTGGGCAGCTATTATTCGTCACTGTAAATCCGTGCCTGCTGCGCCCAGAGAGCAGGTCTGCTGTGACTGCTGCCTTACGGTTCTTCAGTTGAGTGATGCAGTACTATCCCCCTCCAGCCCCGATACAAAGCACTAAAAGCTCCCTCTGGCTGAACCTGCCCCGTTCTTCTATTTTTATATGACATCTTTTAGTTTGTTCCCACCCCACCTCAAATGGACTACTCTGTCCACCGTGGGCTCAGTTCAATGTAATGGGCCAGATGGATTCGACCGGCTCAGAGCAGGCCATGACGGCTACTTTCTTTATCATTCAGTATTTCTAAGAAAATATTTTAATACTTAATCTGGGTAAAATTGAGTCAGTGCACCGGTCATGAATGCTTGGTCTGTCACTGCCCACACTCCTGGGATGAATCAATGAATCTTGATACTTGGAGGTGTGCACCCCCTAACTTTCATGCCATGGTCTGGGTGGGTGCAGCATCCTGGACTGGGAGAACAGGGAAGCACACCTATCCCGGTTGGGAGGTTCCATTGTGTGTCTCGACAGTGGCTCTGACACGAGTCCATGTAGACATGGCATGACTACAGACATCAGAAGAGCGGGCATTAATCCTCCTTTCCCTTATCATTGGATCCAGTACTTGAGATTTGAAGGAGCTATGTAGAGGCAACTGTGTGTTGACTCTCAAGAACAGAAAATAAAATCATTGTGCCCTTGGAACCCACCTAGAACCTAACATGTAGTGTGCTCTTAAAAATGCAGATCAAATGAACAATAGATGACTGATCATTTTTACCTTTCACTGATCCTTCTTCCAAGCCTAGATCTTTAGAACAAATACATATTCAAAGATAGAAAAATGCATGAGTTATTTTCTTACACGCAGGCTCCAGGAGAGAGGTTGCTCTATTGTGCTTCCATGACAACTCCCCCTGGCAACATGGCGGGTGGTCTTAGGGAGGGACAGTACCCTGGCAAAGAGGCCTGGAGAAGAGCAAAGCATAGTTATCCGTGATGGACCAAGGCCACACCTACCGTGCACCTGTTTCCAGAAGCCCGCTCTGACCTCCCAACACTGTCGGACACCCAATACCCCAGGAGGTGAGACAGGCAGAGGGACCCATGAGAAAGGTAGAGGACCCCCCACAAGGGCCTGGAACACGCGTGCTCTCAACGGGAGCATCGTCTCCCAGCTGTTGCCACGCCTCTGGCCTCGCATGGGGCAGAGCGATGGTGCCTTGTAAATTACATGGGCTCACTCTGACTTAGAGGACTTAGTGCATTTTTACAAATGGAAATAATAAACCCAGAGGAAATATTATGAAAATGAATCTGTAAACATTTAAATTGAATGTAATCATGAGCAAGTCCCAGCTTAGACTAATGAAGAATAAATTATGCTGGGATGCAGAACAGGATTTGTTCCTCAGCATGACTGGGGGGGGGGAACTGTCGGTGGAAGTCAAAGCCCACATGACTGTACCACCTCGGCAGAACTTCCCTCTGTTTGTCTGGGAAAACAGGTCAATCACCTGAGCTGAAAAAAATAACAGTGTTATGACTTCATTGCTGGAGCAATATCTCTTGCTTAAAACCTCTGTTATTTTTTTTTTCTCCCTCCTCCACTGTTTTCGGCTCACAAAAAGATGTAGGCTTATTTAAATTTTGGGATGTATTTCACTCAGATTTGCTGATCCACATACCATAATTTTCCCTCCAGAAGATATTGCTGGTAGCAATTTTGGATTTTGGAACCAGGGCTTTATTACTTCCTCATTATCACAATGTCTTTTCTCCTTTTATTTCTACTTAAACTGCAGATAGAATCCAGTGACACCATCTATTAGGCTAGTTATTGGCATTTTCTGAAATACATTGTCTTTTTTATCTTTGCTGATGAGACCATTAACTTTTAAACTCTGTTCCGAAGGGTTTGCTTTGCTTACAGATTTCCCCTCTGCCTATCAGAAATGAAAGCAATCTGTGCTACGCAGGGTCCCGGCACCCACTCTTCCCAGTTTTCAAAGAAACTCTGTCCCTACCCAGATAGATCACCTAAGCAATGGCTCCCACCCTCCGTCACACACCCATAGCCACCTAAGGCCTGGTCTCTGTCACTTTTACATTGCTCATACCCTTCGTCCTGGTCCGCTCACCCCACCCACCCTGAGCCTCACCAACTTCTGGGTAGATTTGTCCTTGTGCTCTTTCTGGTTCCATCTTGCTCTTGACCCAGCTGTGGTCCCCAATCTCCGCAGTGACTCTCACCTCTGATGTCCATGCTCCTGAACAGACCTAAAACAGAAGGAGCAGCGCAAAAATAACTGAGTGTGACTTTCAAGGAGGAGGTCATAAAAGTGAAGTGGCTTTTTCCTTGGTTTTTCTGGAATCACTCAATCGGGCAGACGCCAGCTGCCATGTTGTGAGGAACCTCAAGCCACCCCACGGAGAAAGCAGGGACTTGAAGCCTCCTGCCAGCCACCAGCACTGACTCATCACAGGTCAGAGGGAGCTGCCTTGGAGCGGGTCCTGAGTCCCAAGCCAGTCTTCAAATATCAGCACCCCAGACAACACGTTGACCATAATTTTGTGAATGATTCCAAGCCAGACACACCCAACCCAGCTGCTTCTAGGTTCCTGACCCAGAGAACCAAGTGAACTAAGCCACGCTGATTGCTGTTTGAAGCCACTAAATTCTGGGGTACTTGTATAACAACAGAAGACTAACTTACGTATGGAATGTTTGGCTCATAGGTGGCAGTAATAATAAGAATTATTATTGTTAATCGCTATTTTATTATTAATATCATGATGTGCAGACAATTAATTGACTGGAACAAGTTCCTGGTGGGTGGTAAGAGATTAAGGCCAGAACCCAGGACTCTCAGGCCCATGCCCAGGCCCTTAGTAATCAATTTGTTACAACTCTATGGACTGCTACTGAGTCAAGCACCATTTTATGCCTTTGGGATCGAAAGAAAAATAACATTCTCCCTGCTCAACGTCTTATTGTGCAGCAAAGTGCCCACCAATTTTGAAGAGCATCCGTATGAAAGCCGGGTGGCACAGAACGAGGGCCTGAGGGAGAAGGGCTTCCTTTCCCCGGGCCGTCTTCACCAGGCCTCTCCAGACCTGCGCCGTCTCCCTGCCCGTTCCCTGCAGGTCTCCCTGCACCAGCTGGGGCTGCAGCTCTCCCGGGCTCCCCTGCTTCCTGACACCTCACCAACCAAAATGCTCACTCCCGTTTTCAGAAAGCACCTATTGCACCAAAAACTATATGGTTCAAGGGGTGAGGACAAACCTTGGTGGATTTATATGCCCTCGGTGGCCTGTGTCCTCGTCCACTCTCTGCAGCTGGGCCTGTCTTGGACTGGGCTGTGGAGAAGACAAGTTCTTCAGGAGGCCAACGGTAGGTCGGCTGCCTACCAGCCTTGAAGGACTAGCTGTGTGACTTGGATGAAGTCACATCCTTGCAAGGCCCACCCTCCCTTCCTGTAGAACCTCATTGTGGCTCAGTCAATTTCCCCTCCCTGCTCTGAAAGACAAAAACCTTTTCTATTCTTCAAAGGAGGTGAAGCCCAGGAATGGGGCACTTTGACTTAGCGAGGGGTCTTGTTCTCAGCACCCACAACTTCCTACAGGCACAATGTGCTGAGCCAGAGTGTCCATGTCCACTAGGGGCCAATGCCAACATATCCAGCCCTTGTGGCCAATGACAATTGAAACTAAAAACTCCCAAACATCCTTTACCATACCAAGCCGCCCTGACTAGAAAACGAATGTGTCAATGGCACAGGGCGAGGTCCGGGCCACCGAGTCCACCACTGTCCAAGTGGTCATCACACACTCCCCTTGTGTCCCAGGTGGTAAGACTAAGACAGGCAGAGGGACCCACGTACGATCTGCGTACAGAGGGCAGATGGGTGTTCAAGTCCAGAGGACACAGAAAATCAAAGTGGCAAATGGGGAGAAGAGCATCTCTCGCCTTGTAAACTCAAACCATTTGATCTGTGGGACACTGACAGACAATAAATCTGGGACTGCGTGAAGTCATTTTTATAGGCATTTTATGAGTATAATAACCCAGAGAAGGATTGCCCGGGACTGAGACACAGTTGAGGTTTATGGAAATGATCATTCGACGTGTTCTTTCTCCATACCCTCCTCTTGTATTCTGCACAAATAAATGATTTAGTTGTTCCTAGTTATATGTAAATATATAAATATGTTGCTTCCTATCCTTCTGAGGAGAGCCAAAATGAACTTGAAATCTTGCTCTTTTTTGCTGTTTTTAGACTAATTAATGCGTTTTTATTGCAACCCATTTATACTTAATGATGCATTCACTAGCACTGCAAATTAGAAGATGTAAATGATGTTATATTTTTTTATAGGTTTTGCTGCTTTTTTGGTAACCTCATAATATGTCATGGGGTAAAAAGAGTAAATTATCAGCCTTGGTTCATTTTCTAGGTTAGAAAAGAACACTTTGCAACTCCCTTTGTTAATTGAAAGTTTGGTTCCTCCGAGGTCCTACTTAATTCCTTCAAGCCCATTCAGACCGCCAGAGAGGCGTCTGAGCAAGTCATTACCGCATGTGAATGCATTAACTTGGAAACTGATCAATCCATCATGTGAATGTTTCCAGCCACTCCAAGGCAGGCCACAAAATCCTAATGAAAGCCCGCCGTACATGGTGAGGGACGCCACCTTCGACAAGCACTTGCAATCAATCCAAGGGCCTCCGTTAACCTTTGCTGGAGTTGGTTTTGTTGGGTGTGTAGTTTAACAAGATTGAAGACGTGACTGGGTCAAATTAAGGAGGACGTCACCTGTGCAGCGGAGTGGAATTGTCTGCCATGTAGGTGGCTAGAGCAAGGAGTAAGCATTTTAGGTATCCAAAAGTGTCGCCTTCCTTAATGGATGCAAAACAAAACACTCCCCCATGCACCCTTTTCCTTCCCTCCATCTCTCCCTTCCCTCCTTCCTCGGGAACCAGCTCCTTTAGAAATTTCATAAATTATATTTTATATGGTATATTAGAATGAGCACTCGCAAATATGAATCTTTTAAAGCCAACTTCTAAGAAAGGATTTATCATTCCAGATCATTATCTCCAGTTTTATTGATGAGAGAAAAGATTGAGAGAATTTAAGGGACTTGCCCAAGGTCATAAACAAGTAAGGGCTAAGTAGGAACCTGAACCTAATTTTACAGCACGTAACAATCTTCTTAATTATACGTGTCATCCTCCTTTTATTAAAGAAATGGACACAGGAAAGTTAAAACCTTTCCCACAATTAACCAACTGTTAAACAGAAAATTGGTATTTGAATCTCTAAACCTAAAGAATGAATCAATTTGCACTACTGGGCTGAGCCACATATCACTACTAAAAACTCATTAAAGCAGAGTAGTGCTTTAAAAAAGTCCAGATTACACCAGAATCCATGTTAGATTTGGGCATTTGATAAATATGAAATAATAGATCAACAGACAAAAAGTAATTTTTCAAAAAATGGTAGTAGGAAAAGTGGTAGTGATTTGGAGTTGAATATTTCCAACTTTATTCCAAAATAAATACAGATGATATGAAGACATGTGTTTCTGCAAGCTTACAAATACTCTTTGGGGTGTATATGTGTAATCACACTGTGCAGAAGGCATATGTATGGCCTAAAATTCAAAATCTAAAAGTTTGATAAATTTGACAGCACAAAAATATGTCTACAATGCAAAAAAGAAAAGTACAAACTGAAGAAGTAGTACAATTTAAGGCAAAAATAAAAGACTTGTGTCTTTAATATATAAAGAGTACTACAAATCAATAAGAAAAAGCATTCTGGTGGAAAGCAAAAGCAAATCAGATAAATCACTGATTCTCAAAGACTAAAAACATAAACAGCCTATTCCAAAGTAGATATTAGTTTCACACATAAAAAGAGAAAAGCAATTGAGAGTGTAACAACATTTTTTAGCTACGAGGTGGGAAAAGATTGAATAGTCTGATAAGATACTGTGTTGAAGAGGAAATGGATTAATTAACAGCTCTGAACATTGATGCCATCTCCAGGGAAGGCAGCTGATTCTTCTCTACTTTTTAATCGCCCTCCTCTGGTACTTTCCCTGTTTGGGGTTGGGGTGCTGCTCTGGGTTCTAAGAGGCTGATTTCCGTGGTTGCACCTCCTCACTTCTTGGATACTTGGCTTCTGCTTGACATCAACAAGTAGGAGGTGCTAGAGAGGTCAGGGGGTCTCAGCCCTGGAAGGTGCACCCAACAGGCAAACAATTCAACTCGGCTGCGCATTAGCAATACTTAACTTTCACTGGGAGGAAGGACTGGTCTCTGGGGAGGGTCGATTTGGAATCGTCTTGCAGGATGTGCCCAGGCCTCTTGCCTTCAGCAATTCCTCCCAAACACACAAAACCCTCCAGCCAAAGTTCCACTGCAGAGACACGTGGACTTCCTCTGTGGACGACTATTGCCCATCTCTTCTCCCCAAATGCTTCACTCTTCAGTGGCTTTCCAAGACATTCTCCAAACTCAGGAAGGAGTCTCCGTGGTGAGAGTTGTGTGTCAGCTGTTTTGGTTTGGATTTTAATCTGAATTCTATTCCACCGCAGTTTTAGTGCCATGGCCATGGTCCACCACTGAAGTGACCTTGGTGCCACCCAACCTCCCACCTTGCCTGTGCTGGTCTGCATTTGGAGGTCCCACCACAGCTCTGTCCGGCAGCCATGCTCCTGTAGAGGTGGCTGCAAAGCTGGGTTCTGAAGACGTCAGGCTGTACCCCGAGGAGTGAGGAAAAATGGCCTTTGAAGAAAGAAAGCATGTGTTGAGCCTCAGGGGGAAGCAGATGTTCAAGGATGACAAGAAACTCTGAGTGACTGTGACCGATGGGGATGTGGACAGGGAGAGGAGCACCAAGCAGGAGCACCAGCGCCCAGCTGGACGAGGACTGGGAAGCCCTCTGCAGGAGACAGGCAGGTGAGGAGCTCTGTGGAGGCGGCGTTTCCTGTCCACCGGGTGGACAGTGGAGCACCAGGTTGCCTTCTTAGAAGGCCATACAGAAAGCCCTGGGAGGTCCTGCCACCTCACACCTGAGCTCTCTTCAATCTGCAGTTCCATGTTTTTATTGTATGGGAATCTCATCAGAAAGTCGGGAGACTGCAGCGCATATTGGCAAGTGTCATGAGCAGCACATAAATCATGGCTTTGAACTGGTAAACCCTGGACTCTGGGCTTCTGGGAAGCTGCCATGCGAGGGTCTCAGGGGAACAGCGCTTTGCAAGAC